AAATACCTGTTGAACAAGTAACAACTTGGTTGTTTTTAAGCTTGTAAAATTAGTCATATAAAATAGAGGACAGTAATGTATTAGCTGCCCAAACAATTATTATTATCAGAAAAACATAAGGAAACAGACTCCTTACCTGAAATGAAATAATTATTTTCACCAGCTTGACTAATGGACATTTATAAAACATTCTATTCCACACATATTTTCAAAGGCATACAGAACATTAAAAGTTAGACCATACTCAGGGCCATAAAATAAATCTCAATAAATTATAAATAATTTCACCTATATAAAATTTTTACTTGGACTCTAATAAACTTAAACAGAAAAAATAAAATAAAATAAAGGTATTTGAAAAATCCCCAAATACCTAGAAACTAAATAACATTCTTCTAAAAAACTCATGGGTCAATGATAAAATCATAAGGAAATTACAGAATATTTTGAAATGAATAAATATGGAAACAGAGCTTATCAAAATACAGCCAAAGTAATATTTAGATAGAAATTTACAGCAAGAAAATTTAAGATATCTGAGTGGATATCAATGATATAAAGATGGAACAGCAACAGAGAAATGAAACCAAAGACTAGGTCTTTTACAAGGTCCATAAAATTGATTAACCTTGATGTAGACTGATAAGGCAGAAAAGAAAAGATGTACAAATTACTAATGTTAAGAACTAGAAGTTTCACATTACAGATTACAGTATAAGGAAATATTATGAAGAAGTTTATACCAAAAAATTGGACAACTTAAATGAAATGGACCAGTTTCTTGAAAGCCACAAACTACCAAAGCTCACTCAAGAAAAAACAGATAACCTACAGAGCCCTATACTTTTTAAAATTGAGTTTTGTAAGCATAGTTTTCCCACAAAGAAAACTTCAGCCCCGTATGGTTTCACTGGTGAATTCTACTAAACTTTTAAAGAAGAAATAATACCAATTTTACATGAATTTTCTATAATATTTAACAGAAAGGAAGGAATACTTGCAATTTAATTTTGTGAGGCCTGAATTATCCCATTATCAACACTAAAAGAAAAAAGATGTTATGGCTAAAAAGCATTAACCTCCAGTATAACAATATCATGTCAAAATATGTGCAAATTTCCATCATGAAACAAACAGGAATATCTTGTTTTTCTTTTTAAAGCTATAGGTATCCCAGTATTATAATATTTGTACTTTTTATTCTATTAAGAAAATATAAAGAGATTATTGTGGTTTTAGAATTCTTCAAACTAATTTATTATTAACAGTTTCTACTACCTTTTTATGGTACAATAGATATAGAATAAAACTTGTTATTTTCATCATTTTTCAGTGTACAACTCAATGGCATTAATTAAAGTGACAATGTTGTGCAATCATCACCGATATTCCCCGGTTTTTTACCACCCAAACAGAAACTCTGTATTCATTAAGCAATAGCTCACCATTCATTCCTTCCTCCAGACTCAGGTTACCTTTAATCTTGCTTATTCTAGACATTCCATATAAATGGAATTACACATTATTTGTTTTTTTTTTTGTATGGCTTATTTCACTTGGCATAATATTTTCAAGGTTCATTCTTAATGCATGAATCAGAAATTCATTCACTTTATAGTCATGTATATTTGAAATCAGTTGTACACAAAAGGAGTTCATATAATATCTGATATAATAATTTTGAGTCATTTTCTGGGGTACCTAGAAGTTTCCTACATAAATTTTAAACATATATCAAAATTCTGCAACAAACGCTATTATTCTGGAAATTGACCCCACTACTGAGATTTACGCCATTTCTAAGCCTTGGGAAATGAGGAACGATGTGATGCTTAGAGATGAGTATTATGGAATTACAAATGGGATAGATGTTGATAAGACTCACAAACAGGAGAGATGGATTGAGGTTGGCAGCACAGTGGTGGTGTGGTCCAGTTGAAGGGTGTCATTCCCACAGTATGCTTGTAGTAAGAACACCACATTTTATGTGTCATATTGACTGATACTTTCACATTTCTAAGCTAATTAACAACATATGATATTTATTCAGTGTGTAGAAAATGCTGCCATCATATTTTGACTGGGAATTCCTTGCAGTAAATTCATGTATCTGCAGGCACCTGTGATTTACCAGAACATTTGGGACAGAAATAGTGCATCATTGGGACTCTGACTATGGAGCATGGTGTCCTTTCACTCTTGTGTTTTTCTCAATTTAGAGGGAACATAGAATCCCAAAGGAAGGCTTAAGAGAGAGTAATATAGCAGATTTGACATGGGTCCAATGCTTTTTGTTACTGTTTCTGGAAAGAGGAAATTGGAAATGATTAGGTCACTCTCTGCCTTTTGGTAGTTGAAGCTTAGGCTCTGGTTCTACATGGCACCTGACACTTAGAGAAGTAAAAATAAGGAAGAAGGAGTGAGAAGACTGGGCCTCTAGAGATAACATATCACATCAAGAAAGTAATCACTGAGGATCTCAGAGACCCAAGAATGATTGTCTAACATAAAAAGAACTCTCTGGAATAACTTGCACTCTTTCTTCATTTTGGTGAGATTAATATTCAGGAATAAGAACTTCAATAGTCACTTCAAGTCTTTAAGTGAGATTTCTTCTAATGCACATAGTTACAATCAGAAAATTATAGTATTGGTATAATTTTGTAAAATCTATAATGTACTTAAAAGTTCTTTGTCCTTAAGAAGTCAACTCTGCAAATTAAATTCCTCAAGTTAAGTATTTCAGATGGTAAACAAAAAAAAGGAGAGAGCTTTAATTGAAAATACATGAGTTGGATTTCAGTACACTTCTCAGATCACGTCTACATAGCAAAAATAAATTAATGGTATAATTAACCCATTTTAATCAATATTATCATTTAACTTATTTAATTTATGCTAATAAACAAGATTTTTAAAAAACCTGAGTACTTCCATTTCCTTTTCATATTTGTCTATTCTACCTTTATGTATATATGTATATATGTATGTATTTATTTATATTTTTGGCTGCTTGGTTAGTTTTTTTCTTCTTCTGTTAAGTAGAGATATTAGTTGAAATGTTTTAAAAATTTGTGACACCGAATTTAACGAACCAATCTTTCTTAAAGAATCTATAGCACATTTATTATGATTTTGTTAGGTTGCTAGGGAATAATTAAACCTTTTAAGGTTATCCTTTTTCCCTCATAGTTTATCATCCTGTCCAATTATTGTTTGAATTTGTATAATGTAGATATAACTATGATCAGAAAATTAATGATTAAAGGATGGAATAAATTAGTTATGAAAATTATAATTTAATACAAAAATAATTGTCCATTTTATAGATTATCATTATTATTTTTACATTTAGCAACAATAGATGGTCCCAATTGAAATAGTTGTGCAACCAACAAGTGACTAAAGACTAGAGTTATGAACCATCAGACTAGCAAGCAGGAACTGATGGCATAATTCACAGGAACAGGAGTTACATTTCCCAAGGGAGTTTTGATCTAGTTACTGGAGGTAAAACAAATGCTTAAAGATATCAGACTGTACCTTTACAAAAGAGTTCTCAAATTTAGCATAACTAATATAAATAGGAACCAAATTGTACTATAAATGTCATAAAGTTTTCCAACAATATTCTATGGTCACCAGAAGACAAATTTGGTTTTACTCTTAAGTATTTTAAAATTTTCCTCTTATTTCTCTATAATGTTAGCTATCTGTATTTACTTTAAAACTTTTTAATCTGCTGATCCCGATGAATATTTCATTTCACTTTATTAGCCTATAGGCCTCAAATTAAATTTTCATACTCTAATAAATTTTCAAAGAGGTTATTCACCCTTTAGTTTAAGGAATAGATGACATATAGATAACATGTCTTGAAATAATCACTCATTAGAATGATGAACTTAAAAGAATCTTAAAGTGCTTTATGAAAAGATTTTGTTAGTTTAAAAGACTTTGCAATACGTCAAAATTGACACAACTTGACCCCTCTGACGTAAATATTATGCTTTTACACTTGAAAAATGACTCTGTGGCTGTGTTTCCTGCTTGGGTTTGACCTTTGTGTTTATGTTATCATATATTACACAAAGTCATTTTGTGACTAATTCCTAGAGCTCTGAGTCATGGTGTGGCTCTTGCTTATCTTTTTTGTTTTTTTCTACATGCAACTGCTTTTGGTCCCCATGTTTTGGTAACACTCTCATACAAATGAGCTTTTTTCACAATTAAACAATTGTCGTCATAGTTCTGTGGTCATGGACTTCTGTATTATGTGCTTCCTATTGCTACCAGAAGCAAAGTTTCACAACCAACAAGAACATGACAGTACGTTGTGTAGGTATATAATCTATTGCTTTAATTTACATAATTGCTCTACATATAAAATTGATTATATATATTCTTATTTAAGTATCTTAGAATACAATCTTTGGTATTTGCAGACTTGTAAAATATTTCCATAAAGAGATTTGTTAATGCTGGCATAAAATAATTTAGATTACAAGTATTTTAATGCTTATATCTCATTTTAAATATCATTAATGGCAATGAAAAAGTTTTCTTTAAACATAAGGATCTTACATAGTCTCTTTATTATATTTCTTTACATGTCACTAAATAATATTTAAAGATAAACCATATCTTCAGAAAAGTCCAATTAAACAAACATAATTTGTAAAGAATTGCCACTACAGGCTTAAAATTATTAAAAAAGACTACATTTGACAAACTTCTTACAAAATTGTTTATAATTTTAGAAAAACATTTATTGCATATATATTTGTTTAAAAACTAAATGCAAACTTTTGAGAACTTAATTTTGCATTACAATATGCATTTACTTTTTTTACAGGCAAGAGTCAATTTTTGTTTCAGGGTTCCAGACAATGGTCCTCCCCACTCTTCTTTACCTCTCAGTAACTATCCTGCCTCTCCCCCTAAAAAAAGAAATAAACGTTATTTCTCATAGGCTAGAAAGTGTATTTCTAAGTACTCACGCGTAAAATCTCTGAAGAAAGTTCTTGGAAAGATTTTTTTCAAAGCGGAGCTGAGGTTGTTTTGTTTTCACTTCCAGGCATTGAAGCGAGTATTTGTCTTTTGTACTTCTTTTTTTATATAGATCAAGAAACTGGGGGGCGGGGGGCTGAGGGAGGGGAGGAGTGGAGAATAATGAAGGGAATGAAATCTGATCCTGCTGGGAGTGAAAGGGCAAGCGAAGAATCTGCCCAAAGTCGCTCCTGTCTGTCGGCGCACTGAGGAGCCTCCGAGGCGCTTTCAGAGATCACAGGCATGTGGGAATGGCCGGGCTTCCTGTTTAGGTCTCTCCAACTCTCTTTAGACTAATTTTGCCAAACTCCTCAAAAGCCTTTTTTTTTTTTTTCATTTTTATTATGGAAGAATCTGCCAAAGGAAACAGCTTACCCTACAACTTCAAATTCCTGTTTTTGAATAACTGTTTATTTTGCTTTCCAGGATTCTTTTGGTAATCAGTTAAAAGAAAGAAAAACCTTTCCAGTTATATATTTTTAAATCATGGTATATATTATTACATTGTTACTTAATGAAATAAACTTTTTTTTTTTTTGCAGTTTCTTATCCTCTTCTGATGATTCCATCCATATTGTCAGTATATTTATGAAAAAAAATCCGAGGGCTATTGAAGTTCCCGCTCTGATTAGACGAATGATATACTGTATTTTCTGTTGCAGAATGTCAGGCTATGAACCCTGCCTCAGTTAGTTGTCACCTTTGCAACTTTACTCAGTTATTTAAACTCTATACCTCATTTCCTGTTTCCCTAAATAATGATAATAAAAGGTCCTAGGTTTGATATAAGTAATAAAAGGAATGATACATATAAATATGCGTATATATAAAACAAGATAAGCCCCCTCACATAGCAAACCTTCAATGAATGCTATTGTTTATTGTTATTGTTTGTGTTATATTATTATTTTACACAATGTGTAATTATTTAAAGAACTCACTCAGCATTGCTCTGTGCAGGTTAATATCCCTGACATTAACCCTTAATACTTTTATATGGAATTATGGTCAGATGAGACTAAGGTGACTAAAATTGCTTCAAAAGCAGAATCTGCTTTGCGATGAAGACTGAAGTGATTTGATCAGAAAATCCATTAGTTTCTTGTTTTTTCTATCTCAGATTCTTTTTGTGACTTCAACTTTTCTTCTTTCTTCTGACTTCTGTGTGAGGAGGAACTTTTCCTCTTGTAGATTTTTAATATTTATTGAATAATTATTAGGTGCCTGGCACATAAATTATTTCATTTAATTCTCATAACTATGAAGAAGATTGTCTCTGTATATCTATTTGACAGGTTTAGGAAGGATGAGTGAAGTTTCAAGAGCTGTGGTTCAAATCCTATTGCCTGACTTCAGAGTCAGATGCTCAAATAATCCTCTGTGCTTCCTTCTCCCCCACAATCTGGATTTCCTATCATATTAGTAACAAAACTTTGCTACATAATTATTACCTCACATCTGCAACTCAAGAACATTTGTGTTTCCTTTTTGCTCAGATTATTTTAAGAAGTTGCTTGCTTTTGGAGTGAAATGGATATCGGTTACATTTTGGCCAATCTACAAACTCTGCTCAGGTAGAAGTAAGTTTAGTCAATCAGAATTCTTTTTTTCTACAGAATAAAAGTATAGTATAAATGCCAGGCTTTGAACCAAAAAACTGAGGTAAAGGGCTGGCAGCCATAATGCTATGTGCAAGATGATTATATGGCGAAAGCTGGTTGAGAGAAAATGATGAAAAGAATAAATGAAAGAGAATGCATAACCCTTGAGAGAGGAAATAGGAAAAGAATAAAAGAACAAGACTGAAAGCAGGAGAGACGAGAGAGCCATGTCTGAGCTCGATAGTGACAATCTTTCCTCAGACTTAGTTCAATTTTTCCTGAGTATTCAAGAACATGTATCTTTGTGATAACCTCCCCTCTCCCCCAAAAATCATTTAAGAAATCTCTTTTTATTATAAAGAACCCTGGGTGTAAGAGCCACAGCTAAACTGAAATTATTTTCCCAAAGATTATTGATTTCATATGTAAGCTGTATTTGGCATTAATGAAAACTTTTCACTATGTGTTCCCATGTAACTTACACACCCTTGAGTATTCTTGTGATGAAGGGGACTAGGAACTTATGGTAAACTATTGTTAAGCCAAGACAGCCTGACATTCACTCACTTACGGACTCTCTGTGTGAACTCAGATTTTCTGTCCCTGAGGCCAGAGTAAACCTTTTTGAGGACTTATTACTCGTTTGCCATTCTGTTGTATATAACTCAGTGTAGATTATTTGGTTAAATTTTTTCTCTTACCAACAATTTGCCTGTGTGACATTGTATCTTAAACTTCTTTGTATTAATCAGTATTTGGATATTTCAAGTCCTCAGTTAGTACTAAATAGTCTACTTTTCATTCATCATCATTTTCTATTATTTTTTTTTCATTCCAACTGCCACACCACTTGAATAACATGCCAGACTTTTACTATGAGCTTGTTTATTTCTTGTACAAGAAATAAAAATAGTCTTTTTTTCTTTGCTTGCCCTGTGTATCAAGAAACATTTCCTAATTTTACCCAATAAGAATCTCATTAATTTAAATACAGCGAACGTTTCAGTAAGTTCAGATAACTATACGAATGAGACAAATCTGGTAAGTTGGTTCCTCAATGGCATCATGAGTGAGAAAAGTATTGCAAGATAGAGAACAATTAAATTAGAAAGACATTAAAAACCAAATTATATAGAAGTTTTCATAAATATCCCAAACAAATTTAAATTTTATTACATCAAACCCTCATTTCATTCATTTCTATCTAAAAAATGTGGAAGATTAAATATTTTATTATTTCTTAAATCAACTGATTAATTTGCACACAAAGTGAATCCTTGAGCTTCATTCTTTGTCTCGGTCATCATCCTTTTACCTAGAATCTAAACTATGTACTGCTTGTGATTAACTTTTCCAAAAGGAAATTCCTGAATACTGATAACAAATGGAAACAATGAACCTTTTCTGATTTCAGGTGTAAAAAACGAAAAATGGCATTTAGGCTTTAGTGAATTGTACTCCTTGAAACTTGGTGCAATAGCTATGACATATACAAACATGGTTGCAAACTTCCCTCTGTACTTATTTCAACATTGACAAAATGAAATTTAGTCATGAACCCCTATTTTTGCTGATGTGAAAAATGCCACCTTTCCTATTCTAGGTCATTTCCTGTTGACTAAATTACTAGTTGAAATGTGGTCACTTTCAGGTAAACCCAGGCAATTCAGATGTCTTCAGTCCTCAATCCTTTCCTTCTCCCAGGCACCGCGTCCCTTGGAAGTACTTGGGAAGGGCGTCTGGCCTGCCTGCTCCCCTCTGTCCTGACTGTTACCTGCTGAGAGCTCATTCAGCCTGCTTGTGTGTAATACAGTTTGGCCATGATCTTAGTACTAAAAACAGGTTCTTGCATAAGATCTGAGTTCTTGTAAGTTTAAAGTCACAGCTTTTGGGAATATCGTCTATCCTGTGGGTTGAAACGTCCATTCAGCTAGTTAAATGAAGCCTCTGCTCTGTTTTGTTCATGACTCTGTCTGCCCAGGGTAAAGAGTAAGGACAAAAATAAATGAAACAAACAAAAAGACATACGTAGTTATAAATCAAAATACTGCCAGCTACAGTTCAGTTGCCTTGTTTTAAGCCAAATTTGGAGTCATACTCATTTTAATAACAGTTGACACACAGTATGAGTTTGAAGTCAGAGTATCTGACTGATTAATTTATATTTGGATCCTTTTTTTTTAACCATTAAGTATCTCAATTTTATTAATTTCTAAATAAATATTTCCAAAAGTAATTTACCTCATAAGGAAACAGGGACAATTAGATATATGTCAGGGAGAAAGAAAATATTTTACTTCTTTTTCTACTCCTGTTTGTATTGGATTCTATTGTTTGTTTGGTTCTCTTTGTTGTTCCTCCCTCTGGGCCCCTCCTTGGTAACTAGTGAGGAGAGTCTATTTCTTTCCAAATTGATACCAGGCTTTGCTACATTACTAGCTTCAGCTAACAGAATGAGCAGATTCAAAAAATAAGCAACAGCTAAGTAGATTTTTATAGCTTTGGGAGAAATTTATTAATTTTATGGTTCTATAGCATATTTCCATTTTCTCTGCCAGATGACTCTCTCTCATGTCCCACATAAGGGTTATTTTCCCACACTGGATCACAATAAAGAAGAAATGGAGCACCCACGCAGATAACCCAGAAAGACAACTGAAAATACATTCTTTCTTGATAAAAACCCTGTAGATTTTTGGAGTGGTCTAATATCAAGCATTACTTAGGCAGAAGTGAATAATATACTCCTTACCCATACACTTTTTTCCCTTGAAGATCTGTTATCTTGACTGCATCCATTTTATTAGATTATCTAACACTGGACGCTGAACTAAATTAGACTCTTAGGCCCAGGTCCGCTGTCTCCCTGGTACTTTACTTGCTTTTTCTGCCTATGCACATTATTGCAGGATGTGAAGTAATTTAGGGGAGATGCTTTCAGGAAACATAGTGATGGTAAACAGCAGTAAAAACAAATTAAACAATAGTTGATTTGAATTATGTTGCAAATTAAAGTAAGTTCTTCTTGAGCATTATAAATACAGAGTTTTCAGAAATTTTTTGGTCACAAGCAAGCTGATTCCATCAGTAGGAAAACAAGTTCTTTTCAAATTAGGTTAAATCAAAACAAATACATACATACAAATTTGAATACTGGAATCATGTTTATCTAGGCCATTTATTTTGGTTTATCTAGGTCATATTTCTTATTTTTTAAAAAGTTTTCTTTTTCTTCTTTTTAAAAAATATTTTATTTACTTATTTTTAGAGAGAGTAGAAGGGAGGGAGAAAGAGAGGGAGAGAAGCATGAATGTATGGTTGCTTTCTGCACACCCCCAATGGGGAACCTGGCCTGCAACCCAGGCATGTGCTCTGACTGGGAATCTAACTGGCGATCCTTTGGTTCACAAGGCGGCACTCAATCCACTGAGCCACACCAACACAGGCTGTATTTCTTATTAGTAAGATAGTTCTTGCTAATTTTAAAATGAAAGTGGTTATTGAAAAACAGTGGTAACAGGTGAAAGCGTGAAGGTCTGGTCGTGGTTGAGGATTATTTAGCCCTCTCATGAGATTCTCCCCAGAACTCTGTCATTTTTGACAGATGGATCCCTTGAGCAAGTTATTTTC